GCATTAGTTCCGGCGCTTTTTCCGTCGACAATCTCGGAACGTTCAGGTGGGGAGTGCCGCGCATCGGATCTCATATCGTAGATGATCGGCCGAGGAAATGCCGGCGGACGAGCCCGGACGGCTCAGCAGGATATCTATCGCACTCCCGTGGGGAAAAGTACGGAATAGAATCTTTGCTCAGCCCAGACACGAGCGGTTCGATAATCTCAATAAGTATCATACGAACAGCGAGTCTGCTTTTCAACACCAGGTTCATCGATTGGCTTCAGATCAAAGTCCCGTCGCGCCGCCGGAAATACCGCTGCCCATCCCCCTGCCTCATCTCTCGACCCTCACCGCCGCTCCGGAGGCGCGTCTTTCCGGCGATGGAGTCGACGATGTGAGTCAAGGCTGCAGACGTAAATTCCCACGCCCCCCGCTGTCAACTCTCTGATTACTCGGCAGCCTCGTCGGTGAGTCCAAGATGAGTTTTTCCGGAATCTTCGAGGAGATTGTGAACATTCCGATGCATAGCGGGTGGCACCCACCGAGCTCGGTTAAGCCGCTGAGGCAGAATAATCGCGAGATTGGCTGATGGTGAAGCACAACGGTGAGAGCAATAAGCCGAGCCCCCCATACGGAGAAGCTCAAGGTACGCGTACGCATACGGGCTTGGTTGAGACAAGCGCGCGACGGCCGACGAGGGAAGGAGTCGCAGGAAGTTGCATCAGTTATTTACAAACAAAAAGTGGAGTGCAAACCTTGTGAACAATTTAGCACGACCCAAGGTTGCGCGTAGCGTTGGTCAATGATTCACACCCTCCGTGTAAAACAGGAATCCTTGCGCCGTGTCCCTCCCGTAACCCCTCCAATCCGTACGCAAATAGTTCATAACCCTGTTCTCCCCTTGGATCCTTGGGGTCTTGCAAGCTTTATACTAGGTGGTATTCCTCCGGAGGGGAACTTGTCCCATCCGGGAACTCCGGTCGGAACAGAACCGAAGCCCGTCTCTCTTCCGCTATCATCATGCGATGAGAGCTGAAGGGAGGATACTGATATCGGAGTAGACGCAATCAGCAACAAAGGGAATCTCAGATTCGGTCAGTGTGGTCAGCGGTCCATCGGAGTCGACCTCGAGGGGCTTTCGAAGAATTTCTAGTTCAGGGACTCCAGTGGAGCCAAGAACCAACGGAGCTCCAACACGATCCCAGTGTCTTCATTCGACGGCGATGTCTGCTCTTATCCATGGCGAATCGATGCGCGGCGAACGTCAACCTCGTTCCTGAGCTCCGAGCCGCCGGACTTCGATACATGGCTGGGAAGCTCGATTATTCGTTGGGGGATCGAGTCACCGCGATGGACGGATCAGATCGAAGCTTGAGAATCAGAATCTGCTCGCAGATATCGATTTGATTGATTGCGAGCATGATAGATTCGTCGCGAGCGTCGTGCCACCTCCCATTCCTATGAGAGCGAGAAGACCCAACCCGAGGGAGAATGGAGAACTCAGACGAACAGCGGAAGACCTAGTTGAGGAGTGAATCTAGTCGGAAGAATCGTCAATAGCCTTCAGAATCGAAGTCTCGCTCCTTGTCGAAAGGCTTCCCATTCAGCGAGTCTGCCGCGGCGTGAGGTGAGAAAGCTAGTGATAGAGCATTGGTGGACTTCCTTTGAAGAATGCATGCTTTACAAGCGATTAAGCTCGTGCTCCTGTCGCGGGGTATCTAGAAGAGAAGCCGATTCGATGTCTCGCAAGATAGGAGCTCTCCGGAGCGGGATATAGGCGAAGGGATGGCATCTCGCGAATTGCTCCCTGCAAAACTTGCAATCGCACCGACCGACCCTCCGGGATTCTCGGGGATTACTGGTGGCTTTTCCGATTCCTTTCTCGTCTGGATTCCCGTGGCGAGACTCCGCCTCCCCGCGACAATCATGAGTCGGGGTACGATATCATGCTATTCCAATCGGACGACAGGACCCCTGACTTCCCCGCTGAAGCTTGTGAGGGATCTGAGCACCGGAGTTTCGAGTTCCGATCACCTCTGGGGATCGCCCGTCATACTTCAGATTTCCCTCTCCTCTTCTGTTCTTGAGTGAGACGATTTTCCGACTTCGTTTTATTGTTTCTGGGTCTCGTGTCTCGAGACACGCGAAAGGCTCACGGATCGAGAGCCGCATTCCAAGCAGAGTCGCTTGTGCATACAAATCGCGAATTAGCGGGATGACTCAGAGCGGGCTTCCACGAGCCCTGCGTATCAGGACGCATTTGCTGGGAAACGAGCAAGAATGCGCTCGTGCATTTTGAAAAATGCCTCATTCCGCGGATTCCAGTGATTCCGAGCTCCTGTGAAATTGCGCGGGTGCCTCTATTCCGTCTCTTTTCATTCTCTGGGCATCGATCCTGCAGAGACTCTACCCGGTGACCTATCTCTGGTCCCTTATTTCCTTGGTGAGAGGAGCTGCTCGCTTTCACCTCGCTTCAAGCAATCCCTTGACGTGCACTCGCTCCGAGGCGGGTAGTTCTGCTGCATCTGAATCAGACCGTTAATTTCCATTCTCGTCTCCATCTGTGACCGGGGTTCCCGGAGCATTCTGTGATTTGGAAAGTGGTCCCAAGCCTCGTCATGATTCCCAGGTCCGCTCACAATTGACGACAGAATTTGGTTCATCTGAGCAGGGTAGGGAACTTCTCAAAAGTTGGGAGCCTTGTTCCGTCTCTCACGACGAGGATTAATTCGAGCCGCCCGGAGCGGAACGAGTGTGGCGCAAGCGCTTGCGTCAGGCCGGCAAAGCGTAGCGCTGCTTCAGTCCTAAATTCTCTGGCGAGGGAGCCATTCCGGAGTCACAACATTGAGCTGCCGAGATTCCAGAGGGGAGACACCTGCTCGCAACGCGAGAAGCATACTTCGAGAAACTCCATGCGTTTGTCGTCGATCGCGGGTTTGGCGAAAGGTCTCGCAAAATTTCCCATACCCTGGTCAAGCCTTCTCTCCTCAGAGATTCAGGCGATGCGACCATCCGTTTCTCCCTCGACCCTTCAACGTGGAAAGCGCGGCATGAAGTGATTTCATGGAGGAATCAGACAGGCGAACGGAAGTTTGCCCATCACGCGACCGCTGAATAGCCGACGTAGTCCAGCTTGGCGTGAGGCGGCGGTGGCGCGGAATCTTTTTGCATATCCGCCTAACGAGTTGGTTCGTCGTTGAATGCCCGTTAGCGGATGTAGGACTGCTGGGACCAGTGGAGACCGCTCTACCGACCACGGCTGGCGTCGGCTGGCCCTTATGTCGCACCTCTCGGAATTCCCTCAGCGAACTCTCTGCACTCGCGGCTCACGGAGCTCACTGGCCGCCTCGTTGAGCCCGGGACGTCAACGAAGATGGACTTTAACCAAAGAGAGGGAACTGCCCAGTGGCTCTCTTTGATCTACTGACCCTCATTACAGAATAGCTCCAGCGTCTGCGACAGCGGTCAATAGTTTTGCGTGAGCTCCCATTGAAAAGTCCGTCACGTCCCGGGAGCTGGCGAGACTCCTTAGCCGTCGCGTCGGTGGCAAAGCAAGCAGAAACTCTCGGAGAGAACGTCTCCCAGGAGCTCCGCGGTCGTTATCCGGCTCCCGAACGATAAGGACTGAGAATATTCCTCATTAAACAGAGCTCCTCTGTGTAGCGTTCTGCGCTCTGAAGCCGCCAGAGCATGGAGGCGGGACACCCTGACTCGCTCTTCCTCTGGTCAGCTCGCCGACTTCAAACGATAATGGTATAGGTATATAATAATAATTGATTATCTATTCGGGGTGTCGCCGGGCTGTGTGAAAGGTGCTGCATGTAACGGGGAACAGAACCTCTGAGCTATTGCTATATTGATGCGGTTTCGTGGGGCGACGAGGAGTACCTCGTCCGCGGGCAAGCTCCGCTCAAGTGCCGGTGAGCTTCTCGGGCGCCATACACGGGCTTCGCCCAGAGCCTAGGGTGTCAGAGAAGACGCTTCGTATCGATCTGCCTTCGGCGTCTGCGTGCACTGCGGGGGTGGGCGGGAAGTGAGCATGAGCTTGGCAGCGATTGCATTCAAATCTGCGAGCGGAATCGTGACAACATAGCTTACTGCGGTGTCGTCACGGCAAATAATGTTGACAGCAGTCGTGACATCTCCATATGCGGAGATAACAAGTAGAAGGATGAAGCGGCGTAGACTACTTCGGACTCGAAGAGGGCGCGTGGCGGAGTTCCGACAAGTGAGTTTTGAGCGAACTTCCGACTCGGGGGTCGCTGATTCTTAACGGCGGGGATCAGACAGCAGGGAAAGGCCTCAGGGAGTCTGCTGTCTGATACGCCGCGAATACCAAAAAGAGCCATGCTAGGAGAACGATAGACCACAAGCTGAGATGAGGGAGCTATGCCGAATTTTCCGAGGTAGCGCGTGACCGGAGCGCGAAGGGGAGTTCGAGGACGGATCTGACCGCGTTTTTGTGGGCAGGTCTGAGCGATGGATGGATGGGTACTCGCTGGGGCCGAGCCTCAGGAGCATACACCCTGTTCAAGAGTGGTGGAGAAAAAGAGCCTGGAAAGAAAGAGGAGGTGGAACCGAGCGAAGTTAAGGTGTCCGAGGCGGTGATCGCAGAAGGCGATTGAGGTAGGTTTTTGACGAATGCTACTGACATGGATGTTCCAAGACAGAGCGTCCGTGGGGTAGCTGCTTCTGGTCGACGCTCTTCAGCAATCCATACTGTTCCGAGCGTTTTTTCCATCTTTTCTGGAGGGATGGGAAGAAGCCCCCGAGGTTCCGAAGCACCAATTGGAGATCTTATCGAGCCCACGATCGACTCTTCTAAGATAATCTTGGATCCGGATCCATGTGCCATATAAAGGGAGATCTCCGAGGGCTTGCTTCTGGTCAAGACCGCTCTATTTCTGTCACCATCTGCTATATCCAATTCATAAAATACTTACTCGGTCGGTGTAGATGTCTTAAGATCAATCTCTCGCTGTGAGTCCAGGTTGTCGGGTTGTGCACCCCGGAAAATGAGAGGGTTCATTCCGTACCGATATGGGAAGCAATTAGAAAATAACGTTCAGCATCGACAGCTTATCATCCCCGTATTATATCGAAACGTCGAGGCGCCTACCAACAAGATAGGAATATCTCAGTCACCCAACGGAATTCCGCAGTCTCGGCATTGGTGTCTTCCTTCGTGTCTTAGCTCTTCATTGTGAGTCAATGACATACTTTTCCCCTCGATCGTTGGCGCCAATTCCCAATGCCTATTCAGATTATATCTTTCCCTAATTCCCTGCCGATTTCCGACTGTTTTAGTGCCTGGAACCTGGAACGCCTGGCTCTGGTCAACACTCGCGGTAATGGGTCTCGAATTCGAATCTCCGTCTCATTCTTCCGGACACAGTCGTGGCACACTTGCCAAGCTCTGGGCCCCTGCATTCACCACAGCTCAGAGCAGCCCAACTGTGAAGAATCCATATCGAGGGCTACGTCGAGGTGATCCATGGGTGCAGACCGGCTTCAGTGCCTCGTATCGTCAGAACAACCAGCCCGCTCTACTTCAGTCCGTGAGCACTGTACAGTAGAAACCAGTAACAACTCTGACCACAAACTCGGTCGCCCGCTCCGTGTCAGCTTCCTCTCGCCAGAAGAAAAACATTGCCCGACGCCCGATCCGCTCGGCTCCAGCTAAAAGTCAGAGGGTATCTTACAATTATTAGTCTTAGCATCATGCCGACCTCAGCCTGCATGAAGAGAAACGGTAGCTCTCTGTTCAACCGGCTACTGTCATTCGCCCTCCTGACTCGCGCCTCTTTTTCAGCAAGCTGAGCCGCACCGCGCTGATCCAGAACATGATAGTTGGGAGAGCTGACCGAAAATGACATGGCGGCGCGCAGACGAACAAGAGAGAGAGAACGCAAGCAAGCAAGAGTGAGCGTACGTCACTAGCAGATAACTGCTCCAGAGAGGATTCCTCCTCAACCTGGACAGCATCCGAAGGAACGATAAGGCCGCTGAGGGTGGGACCTACGCCCCCGACTCATGATTTCGGGATTTATGTTCCGAATGTACGTTATGGAATTCGCGAGCTTCCGCCTGCAGACGTTTCACGGCTCTCGCCAAGCCCCTATCACGAAGTCTTTCCCTCCCCTCAAGCCCTCTCAAAAGTTTTCGAGGCGTTGCTTTGTTTTGTAAATAGTCGCAATAACATGATCGTGTCTCGGGTCTCGGGACTCGGGACGTCTAATGCGATCAGTAGAGAGTCTCGAATTTCATTGTCGGGAGTTCATAAGTCGCGAGTTCTCATTGTGTCTTTCTTGTGCAATGATCTCAGGAACCTTCAGCTCAAAGTGACTGTCTCGATAGAACCGTTGGGCAGCAGGCAGCAGCTCACACCTGTTCCGGACCCGGGCGTTCGAATCTTAGATCTGCGCCCCCGCGAGCGCTCTGAGAAGATCAACTCGGCTCAGTCGGGAGAAAGACAACGGAACTGCTCCCAAGCAAAGATGCCACCATCCATCGCGAAGAAGAAATCAACGACGAAGACAACGACATCAACGAAAACGACGAAGGATGAGAGCGTTAGATGCCCTCACGAATATTGTGGGAAAATCCTCAAAAACAAATGGAACATGCGAGTGCATTTGCTCAGACACGATGGGGAGCGCCGACACTCTTGCACTTTGTGTCCCAAGAAGTTTTTCACCGGCTGCGATCTCAAAGCTCACACACGTGCCCATAAAGGGGAGAAACCCTATGTCTGCTCTGTTTGTTCGATGGGCTTCGCCGCAAAATCGAATCTCACCGTTCACTTACGTTTCCACACCGGAGAAACGCCGTATGCGTGCAGGGAGTGTCCAGCGAGCTTCAAGATCAAGTCTCACTTGAATGACCATCTACGCTGCCACACCGGGGAGCGGCCTTTCCCTTGTACTCAATGCGCGTCGAGTTTCTCCACCTCGTCCAGTCTACGCTCTCATCTGCTCATACACAATGACAAACGCTTCCGTTGTGATGAGTGCAGGTTGAGTTTCTGTCGGAAAGCCGAGCTCAAGAGTCATAAAGCAAGGCACGCCGAGAAAAAGCCTTTCGCTTGCACAGAATGCGATAGAACTTTCAAAGCGCCTGCGCTTCTTGAGGTGCATAAACGAGTGCACTCCGGAGAGAGACCTTACGTTTGCAAAACTTGCGGGAAAAGTTTCGTGCGCGTATCAGGTTTGGAGAGCCACTCTATCGTTCACAGTGGGGACAGACCTTATTCATGCCCGGTCTGTGCGAAAACATTTGCCAGGAAGCAATACCTCAAAATCCACGGTAGGACACACGATAAAGGGGACGACCAATCCACGTCATCCGCCAATGACGAGCAATAATCCGCATGTATTCTTTAACTTGTTGTAATTTGTGACCTGTAGAGCTGACTTTATCTATGTTTTTATCAATGAGAATATGCGAAGCTGTAACTCATCAGAGAAATGAATTTACCAGTCCGCACCGAAAAGATCGGAATAATAAAGGAATCTACCCCTGATCTTAAGCTCGGGTTCTTCCCTTCTGTGAGTGTAATGACCAGAAACACGGATCGTGTGACGGGCATCCCAGTAGGAATGTAGGATACGTTTCCATCGGGTTCCACAGCCCTGCGGTGAGGATTTTAACATGTGTCCAAACCGTATGTATAGCTCATTGCCTGCGAAACCATACCGTTCCGGGCTTCCTGGAAGAAGACAGTGGCGTCAGATCTACTGAATACGCTGGCATATATTCGCATGAGCTTCCAATCAAGGAGACGTCTTCCAGTCACTACTCCCCCATCGACGCCGACTCTGCTCGCAGTTTCTGACGACCATTCCCGTTTCACTCATACAGTTTGGGATCAATCGAGATCCTTGACCGCCTTGTGTCCCGCGTTCAGTTTGGGGCAAACCGTGGATTGGGGGACATCTCGCCCGGATCGGTTTCCGCCAAATCTCAATCCAAAGTCCCGCATATGTAGACCCTGGTAGTAGTCGAGGTAAAATCTTGCCGAAGCCGATCGTCCGTCCCTTCACATAATTATTACCGCCTACAGCTCGACTCCAGCTTCCAAAGTCTCCGAGCGCCTTGTCTTCGTCATGGAAAATATTACACTGGAAGTCATGACGAGGGGTCCGGTAGGTGAACACTCGAAACCACGAACAGTCTAACCCGCTCATAAGACGCCTCTCGGGGGAGCCGAAAAAGTCACTCATAACGGACCTCTCCTCTCGATGTCATTCGAGCTCTCAGAGGACTCCTGAGGGGCTCCGCGGAACGAAATCAAATCACTTGATAATTCCTCCTTCTGATCTTAAAGGTCTACATCACAACATGAGGGAATTCTTGTCCCTCGCAGGAAGACCGGCGACGAGTCAGACTATTGCATCAGATATTCGGAGAGATGAGTTTCTCCCAACGAAAGAATGACCAGGAGTCTGGCTGATTATCTACTGGCGTGGGCACTAGCGGGGATGTCGTCGAGGGCGGCCTGGATCACAAGCAACGCCTTATACTGACTCGGCGGAATATTTTCTTCATCTAAATGCGAAATTCCGTGTATCCCTCGATCGAATGCATTATACATATATGATGGGTGATCTTGTTGGATTTTATTTCGATTTTCTATATGAATTTATATGCTCCCTTTCATTTCAGGGGTGAATTCTGGGCATCCACGGATCATTCATTTGCCCCCTCTCTCAAGAATTCTTTGTCCTCCTCAGATCTTTCGCGGTGGTATCGGGGTGAGGTCCGAGTCGGTACGAGGCTCCTTTTGGTCGTCGCATTCCAGAACGATGAGGGTGTCCTTCTCTGGGGCTCCGCAATCAGGGCAATTAGCTCTCGTCGATTGAAGGGTTCCGGGCGTGTTAGGTTGGGACTCTCTGATGCTAGAATCACAGCTCCGAGATGCCGGGAGTGAGACGCCAGCTTTTAGAACTCGTGAAAAAGGAGGAATGTGAGCGGCAGCTGTCTGCGAGCCCTCTCGCCAGGCTCTGTTTCGTTTTTCGTGCCTCCTCTCCCCAGAGCTCAGAAGTCTTCTAGGCATGATCTTCCGAAGCCTTGTGCTCAAAAGCTCGAGTCCCGTAGTGTATGAAAGAAGTGTTCGTAACCACTTGGGATCACGACGTGCTTTGAGGCTCCGAAATGACGAGGAAAGTACAGCAAACTGTCGGGGCGGAGGACCAGAGTGTGAAGTGTCCTCTCGATCATTGTGGCAAAGTTCTGCGAAGCAAATCAAGCATGCGTGTGCATCTTTTGCGGCACAGGGGAGAGCGACGGCATGCTTGTACGGAATGTACTTCACGATTTTTCACGAGCTCGGATCTCAGAGTTCATACCCGCGCTCACAAAGGAGAAAAACCTCACCTCTGTTCGGTCTGTTCGATGGGATTCGTGACCACATCAAATCTCGTCGTACACGAGCGTACCCACACGGGAGAGAGACCGTACGCCTGCAGAGAGTGTCCAGCGAGCTTCAAGATCAAATCTCATCTCAATGATCACCAGCGTTCCCACACAGGCGAGCGGCCGTTCCCGTGTAGCTCATGTTCTTTGAGCTTCGCCACCTCGTCGATGCTGCGGTCACACCAAATAGTGCACGATGACAGACCGTACCGTTGTGACAGCTGTCGGTCGGGATTTCTCCGGAAAGCCGAGCTGGAGAAACATAAGGCAAAGCACGCTGAAGAGAAGCCTTTCGCCTGCGATGAATGCCCCAATACCTATAGATATATCGGGCAACTCGAGGATCATAAGAGAGCTCATTCTGGGGAGAAACCTTTCAAATGCTCAACTTGCGGAAAATCTTTTGCGCGGTCCATCGGGTTGAAGAGCCACGAGATCGTCCACAGTGGAGAGAGACCTTACGCCTGTGAAGTCTGTGAGAAGACCTTTGCCCGGAAGCATAGTCTCCGAATCCACGGAAGAACGCACGAAAACCAGCCCGGCAAAGCTCTGCCCAAGGACGAAGAGATGGAATAATTTGACGCGCATTCGAAAACGTAATAAAGATTGTGCAACTCCCTCTCCTCCTCTGCGAGGATTGATTGTTTCACGAATTAAGTTGAATATGAGAACGCCGTGCTCTATGAGGGAATGAATCCATGAATTCCAGACAGCGATCTTAGAGAAATTGGATTGAAGTGTTCACCGACGCCCGATCGCATGCGTATGCGCTTCAGGTCGGCTGTGAGCCTCGTTCGCATGACATTCACCACCTAGGAAGGTCTTCCCACCCGGATGGAGCGTTTAAGGGGGTGCCGGCGCTCTGTGACTGACGACGAATGCGCGCGGACCATGAGGGTTCGATACCTCAGAAGTTCCTTGAGCGCGGTGTCTCGCAACGTTCCCGCCCCGATGACATCTCGAGTAGGATCCGACCCCAAGCGCGAGAGAAATCAAGCACATCATCAATCTGTATATTTTACTTTAATACCCATATCACGTGCGGCAATCTTTTTCTCCGGCGAAGGCGAAAATAGAGGTCAGTCAAACACGATTCCGAAGAGCTCTTCTCGGAATCGGAGGGGTTAGATGAGGAAGTTTGAAATTAAACGTAGGTACTAGTTTCGGGGATAACATTGAGGAATGCTGTCGGCTTGCCAAGTCGGATTTCTGATCACCCGACCTCTCGTCCAGTCCAGTTTTTCACAATTAAGCGGATTGCCTGGAAACCAGAAACAATTGAATTGATACCATCCACTAAAACCCACTCCACCATCAGCTCCGAAAGAGAATGAGTTGAGCTTGCTACCTCGTCCCACCGAGACCATCACATGAATATTGGTGGATTGCTCGTCCATTTTTCGCTTACCGGCTAGAAACAAGGATGGACGAGTGTCCCGCTGGTTCGGATCTTCTGGCAGCGATTCTATCTCGTTGTTCGCGAGGTCAAGATGTTGTAAATGCGGTGCCGCGCTCCATAGGTCCGCGCTTATGCTTCTTATCTTGCAGTCCCTTCAAGAATAGAGGATGCTCCTACAGATTATCTGATCTCATGGCGAGCTACCGCATTCGGCTGACCTGAGTTCTTAACTTGGAAGTTGCTCAGGTTCCACCGAGCGACAGGCTCAAGGACCCGAGTCATATATGGAGACCCATAAGTCTTAGCTCGGGTCTGTGTAGACGGAATCCTGGCTTCTGGATCGCCTCAATTGGAGGAGATCAACTCACCTGATTTGCACGAGGTGGAGCGAATTGCTCCGTTTCGGGATAAAATCCAGTCGCTGTGTCTGTAAGTCGCTCGCCTCGATGGCGAGGATCCGCAGATCCGTCATCAGTCGGAAATTAGTATAAGCTGGGGGAGGAGTCGAGAGTTAGCGTCTTTCACTTACATCCTAAGCCACACCGAGGAAACTAGGATCTTCAGAATCCTGCCTTCTGCTTCGTGATGTTCGCCCCGAGCTTCTATTTTCGGGGTCGGAACGGTACTTCTGATTTCTCTCGACAAATTGCTCACGACTCTCGTTGGTTCTGATTCACGTAGATAACAAACTCAGAGGACAACTCACCGTCCAATGAGCTGTTGTGGATGCGTAGGTCTTTGACTCCGCTGAGGTTCTCCAGTCCGGTAAAATTCTTCTGATTCAAAACGCGTAGTTGGGAAGGCCTTGCTCAGGAGGGAAGGAATGAGCGTGAGGATATGTCAAGAAAAGACGAGCAGGAATTTGCATTTCTTAACGGGACATACGCCAAGCGTACTTCGCGGTTGAGAAGAAGGTGGGGAAGTCAATTGAGACATCATCGAACTCCAATGAAGCGAAGTTACAATGGGGAGGCTCTCCGGCATACGTGAAATGCAGGAGTTTCAGGGATTGTACATTTGAACCACACAAAGCGGTGAAAGGCGATGTGATGACTCGTTCAAGCTCTTCCGAGGAGCCCTGGAAAGCAACACGCCGGGGATCTCTATCTCGAATCTTCTAGAAACGATGTTCAGCTTCATCTTCGGAGGAAATGACTCACGTTACTTTTAGCCGTCTCCCACTTTAGCTTGCCGCGAAATTGGAAAGACTGCAAGATGAGCCAAAAACGGAGATGATTAGAGAACTCGAGAGTCCCCATTATATCCCGGACAAGCCTCAAAGAGAAAATTTCTAAAGCGATATGGATGAGCGCCCTCTGAGCTCCTGAAAGGGTATTGATCCCTCACATTTTTTTCTGCGTAACCCGCAATGATTGCGAATCTCGCCGCAGTGTCAGCGTTCCACCGCGCTGCGTTACAAACGAAACTCCGTTCAGAGCCCTTCGGTAGTATAGAACAGGAGCATCCCAACGCTCGGAGATCCTTCGGTCTCGGACAAGTCCCGACTTCCTTCTTCATGAAGGAAGATTTCATTTGTTTGAGAACTATCGCTGAGAGAATCACAACCCACACAATGCGTACCCTGGAATGGATCATCCGTTTAAGTCATTGTGCATAATGAGAGCAGGAAGAGCTCGAACGACGAGTCTCGGATCTGAGTAGTCAGAAAATGCCATCCTTTTCAGACCTCGCCGCCTCCATCTTGAAATTCGAACACAACTGGATCCTCTCGTACGAGATCGATACTGAGGCAACGAGGAATCTTTGCGCCATAGAGCACGAAGCATAGTGACGGTGCGAGAGTGTCCCCGGGATGAAGTGTCGTGTAAATTCTCCCCGCGACATGCACCTCGCGCCATGCTCGTCGTGATGTTCGCAGTTGAAATGCGGCGGGAGGATTCATCGTGTTCGAAATCTTTTTTTTCACCGAAAGAGCCCTCGATATTAGGGTCAACAAACATGATGAGCATCGAGCAGATCTTGCGAATACGGAGCCCTCGATTCCGAGTCGATTGGAAGGCACGTAGCATGAGATTACCGATAGGACTAGGTCGCGGACGACGAGCCAAATTCCGTAGCAAAAATTTCGTCGACCCATTCTCCCTTCGAGACTTTGCTATTACGATTCTTCCACATCCTCAGATGCTGCGGAGCGAGACTCCTGCTCGCTTGATAGCATCTCAGGTAAGCGTCGATATCTGCGGATTGCGGGAGGATGAATCCCGCTAATCATGACCGGTTTCCTCGAAGTCCCCGCTTCCGAAGCCCGATTCTCGCCCTGATGGCCCGGAGAGTATCTCTTCGGAGGAGTGAATCGCGGTTGCCGATCTGTCACGATCTCGAAGGGACACTCGAAATTTGGCGACTCCACCATGAGAGAGAATTCTTTTCAAAACAGAAGTCCCTTGAACGAACCAGCTGTGGCAATCACCCGGTTCGATGAAGGAGAATCTTGCTGGGAAGATCGTTTTCCCGACTAAGGCTCCACTCCCAGGATTCGTTCATAGCGCCTGAATCTCGATGAATAACTTATCCAATGCACGAATCAAACTGCGAGAGGTCATCATCCATACAGCGAGGGAGCTCGAACTCTTCGGAGAGTGCTCTCCGTCAAATTTTGCTCGACGACGAGACAATGAGCCAAAGAAAACATAAACACCCTGTGTGTCATTCGATGGGGCCAGTATCGGGTCTCCGACAAGAGCCCGCTGCTCCTCAGGACGCAGCCGCACGCTCTCCAACTCGAAGGCACTCGGAAATTTCCAAGATTCGCCCCGCAGGAGGAGCAGCGGACGAGATCCTTCGAGTGCCGAGTCATTCCATGAAGGGTACGAGTCGCTCGGTGCCCTGCCATAGAATAAATTCAAGCGCGCTACTCCAGTCCCCAATCGCGGCGGTACGGCTCCTCCTGACGATGGTTGTATTTGTGTCTGAGGAGCCCGCGACTTGTGAGAAAACTCATTGAACATTTCGAACAAGGATGAGGCTTCCGTATGATGTGGCTTTCCCTGTGATTTCTCAGTGACCATTGCCGCCAGAAACGTTCGCCGCAATCTCTGCAGGCAAATGGCTGGACCTTACCATGTAATTGCATGTGTCGATTTAAGTCTGTCTTCACGCGGAATGTCTCAGAAGAGATGCGACACAGATACGGCTTCTCTCCTGTGTGTATCATTCGACGGATGGCCGCATACCGTGGTGTCTTGAAACTCTTCTGGCATTCTTCGCAGGCGAAGGATTTTGCGTCTTCATGGGTGCGCATGTAGACGTCCGAGCGACTTTCACCGTGGAATCCCGCTGCTTGCTTCGAGACAGTTTGAGGCTCATCGGCTGCGGGTTTGTTCCGCGAGGGCAAAAGATTTCCGCGATCTCGCGCGGAGCTTCCTGCGCGATCGCGGGGGATATGCGGTCCGACCCGACAGCTTGATAGCTTAAGTTCATTCAAATCAGAGATCCACCGTAAACTTCGGAAACAGTTCGGACACAAGCGTGGCTTCTCACCCGTGTGTCTTATCTGATGGTGCGCGACATACAAACTCGTTTTAATTTTTTTGCCGCACTCATCGCAAGCGAATTTTCCCGCTCCCCTGGGGCTCCGTCGGGATACCAGAGATCGGCTTCTGTAGCCAAATCTACCCGAAGATTCGCGCTCGACGAATTGCTCTCTCCGACGGCTTGCGGGATCTTCCTCAGACCCCGAGCCCTTCCCTTCGGGACGGCTACGCGCGTCCGGCTTGGTCTTGCAATTGTGTCGCACGTGTCTATCGAAAGCACTCCCCCAACAGGAAGTCTGCGGACACGTCGGGCAGACAAACGGTCTCTCACCAGAGTGTATCTTCTGGTGCAAGACGGCACACCATTTCGTAAGGAACCTCTTCGCGCATTCATCACAAGCGAAGGGTCTTTTGACCTTCGCGCGCGGAGGGGATGGCGTCGGAGCGTTCTATGATGAGGAGACGATGCGAAAGAACCCAATGCCGAAGGTTACCGTGTTTCCGGCAGATCTATGACATCCATCTCAGGTTATCAGGATGGAGATGGATTTTTCCAAACGGAATTCGAGAACGGACCCTTCTCCATCGGGGGAAGTTTTCGATTCTGACGAAAGCATCGAGACCATATCTGGACTTCAGCTGATAGAAGAGGAACCCACTATCAATTATGCTGATGATGATGACGATGAAGGGGGTCTGTTGCGGAGTTCACTCTTTGTGGATAATGAGGATGATTGGTGTTGAATTGTGACTTCGATGAGGAGAGTCAATCTCAAAATTTTAGCAATGAGGATGGGCACCGAAAAACACCGTCGTTGAAGACAGTCAATCTAAGGAGCGTCTCAACGAATATAAGAAGGAGGAGACGCCGATATATTGTGGAGATAATGAAGACAGTATGCCTTGGAATGATGAAGGAAAGGAGAACCAGGGAGCACCGGATAATTGTGACGATGATGGTGATAGTCGATCTGGGGATTGTGTCAATGAAAATAAGCCCGAAGAAACAAAAGCTGAGAAATCGTTCGTTTGCGATGAGTGTGGAAGGAAGTACTCACTGAAAAGAAGTCTCCAGCGTCATAGGATCACTCACACCAACGAAGCCCAGTTCAGCTACGCCGAATGGGAGAGGAAATTTTTCCGCCGATGTGACCTCCAAGCCCACGAGAAGGTTCACACCAAGGAGAAACCATTTACTTGCGATCAGTGCGGAATGGAATTCGCTCAGAAGTTGTATAATGTCTATGCTCACAAAAGATTACATGCAGGAGAAAAACCATTCGCCTGCGAAATAGGTATCGGCGGAAATCTGAGCTCAAAGACCATACGAGAATCTTTACCGGGGAGAGACCATTCGTTTGCAAGGAACGTGGGGAAAGCTTCAAGCAGAGGAGCCACATCAATCGTCACCTCAAGAAACACAAAATCGCGAAACCTCCGGCTACTGCGAGTGGCAAGGACGCTCCGAGTCAAGAGAATATTCCGAGCGAGGATGATACGCTGAAAACGTGACACACTCCGGTCGACACGCATGGAATGATTTTTGCCGGAAAACTGGCCATGCGATAGTGCTCTCCATGGAGGGGGAGGGTCGGGAAATGAGGCTCCAGGCTTGCGACGTTCTGAGACCCTCCGCCCGGATCTCTCTCAGGTACACCGAAAAAATGATTGTACTGAATGTGGGCATCCGTTTCTAAAACTGACGAGCGTCCTTTCGAAATGTCTTATCAAGTACTGGCGGACCCGCTTATAAGAGATACGCATATAAGAGACTTGCGCTTATAAGAGACAGATTTTATTCCCCGGTCTCCGAGCCCATAGACTCCCATGTTAAAAAAATCGCATATAGGAGACTTGAAAACTCGCTTATAACAGAAACTCGCTCATAAGAGACTCGTCACGATTCCCCTTCTCATAGGATTCCATGTTGAAGGATTCGCTTCAAAGAGACAGGTCGGAACACTTTCGCGATCTCTCTCGCTGTCAGGGGGAATGCGTCGCCTTGTTCCTCGTAAAATATTTCGAGTGCTCTTTGGAGCGTCAGGAAACGCTCGACCATCACGAGCGTGCTATTCCACCTGTGGATTAGTCAGAGCACGGATTTGTGGAAAGGACAAAACGAGGGAGGTGTCACCGCAAATGACAGAGACTGCTCATTCTTCCCATGTTGAAGAAGAACCCAGGAATCAATCCTGGCAGTGTACTCGAATCCGCGACTGCACACATCGCACACTGCGAAGGACGAATGAAATGAGGAACCACTACATTACCAACCTGATATGCACGTCGGGCAAGAGTTTGAAAATTTTCGAATCAGGATTCAGGCAGCGACAGATTCGCTCCAGCTGGTCGCATTTTTTGTGGCTGGCTCTGAAGTCTTTCGTGATCTTCCTGATTTTTTGTACCACAGCTCGATCCAGATCTAGTTCGTTCGTTCTTTTCCTCCAATGTTCGCTCAGGTGCGCTATCGTTACCGAACTCGAGATCGACACCGATTGTGTCACCGTCTTCTTCCCCGCCACTCCCCTGGCCCAAGATTCCTGTACTCGGCGGGTCAATGTCGCGCTGAATCCTGCCTTTGAAGGTGTTGAGGACGGCTATATGAAGGCCATGAGCAAAGCATTGCTGATGGTAGAAGGTTTTCGGCGCGCATTCGCGCTCAATCAGTCAAACTACTTTAAGCATCACGGACGCAGCGTCCGATGTCATTCCGCGGAGGTCTTGTAGAGTGAGCCCGAATGCTTGGAGTGCTTTCTTATGGCCTCAAGAAGCCTCTCGGCCGTCCCCGCTTCCCTGGAGCGGACGAATACTTCCACCGAATGGGAGCCAAGACTTGGAATGACATCGGAACATTGCAGAACGATTCCTACGAAGCGCTTCGTACACCACGACCACTCGTCGGCAACTAACGTGAAGACTGCTCCTTTCATCTTGAGACGCTCGAAATCAGACACGAGCAGAAGCCGTATCCTCTCGTGCTCGTCGTCAGAGATCTTACGGGCAAGTTTGGTGTTTATGGACCCTAGATTGGCCAACCAGAAGAGAATGCGGAAAACTGGATGCGCGGGGGTCGTCAGAGCAATAAGGCAAACATTGGCGAGCGTCGCTACGATCCAATTTTTCAGAGCTGCACTGCGCTTCACAGTATAGCAGTTACATTCTACTCTTTTACTTTTTGCGTGCCTCATGGCTGCACCACCCTCTCCAGGAGGATCCTTGCAGGCCTTTCTATGCCCCGCAGATCCCAGGTGGTTCTTCATGGCAGTGATACTGCCATTGGCGCAAGTGATGAGCTTGTTCGTGCAAGTCTTACATTTGGCCCTGCCTTGAGAAGGCTCCTCGAACTGGCTTCGGATTCTTTGCCCTAAACGGACAGACGGAGCAATTTTTCGGGGAGGCAGAGCAAACAGAAACCAGAAATCGGAACTTTACGGAACATATATGCGGGTTCAAAAACCTTTCCTCTCGAAAGAGTAGAGGATCACTCACTTTCGACCTTTTTGGCGAAATCGTCAGTCTGAGAATGGTCTCCGTCGAGTTCTAAAAGGTTCATGAAGGAACCTCTGGAGTTTTCTATCACTAATTCAAAAAACTTTCATGCACTGATATTCTACCATCCATGACCAATCGCAAATGTGACGGTCTCAGGTTCCAAGTTGTTGATCGTTTAAACGAAACTTACCCTGATTTCGGCTCTGATGGGGGCCTTCTGCTCAGGGCGACGACCGAGGAACTTCAGGAGCAGTATCAGTCGTTCCATCAAAGTCGAGCTCCGGAACAATCGTCGGCTCTATGTATATGCAGGACCTTTCGGCGCTCGGACTCGGACCCGACTTGGGGTTTCCTGGAGGGCTGGACGCCTCGAGAATCCTGGGTCTCATTGTCCCTTGTTGTGTGTGTTCGGGAAAGGCTTATTGCATCGAGCTCATGGCGAGCGTAGCGGCAGCGAGCGCACCCGGAACGAGCGAACCCGAAGCTGGTTGATTCGCTTAGAGTCCATCGCTGTCGACTGGGAAGGCTGGTGGGTGGTGACGTGGTGAGTGGTGAGACATTATAATAGAATGTCGGGGGCCCAATCTAACCACTTCGAATCCGTCCTGGACAGAACAACGCTTCCTGTATTTCAGGAGCAGAATCGGTAGATATATCTGGGCAACGGTCAATTTCTATGTCGGAGCAGAATGGAGGTTCCATCTCGGGTTGCAGAGCTTCGAAGGATAAATAGGAGATTCTAGTCAGAGACATCACTCCGATATGAGAATCTAGAATATCGTGCAGAGCTCGACTGAACTGAATTCGTATGAGTCGGGTTCCGAGTTCCAAGCGTGACCCTCGCTATGCTGCCTGCGGCGTTGCACTTGCTATCAAGCTCGTAAAATCAATGAAGATGATTCATGAGATTCCTAATACGGATGGAGTCAAGAGCAACGCGTACTCTGGTCTCACGACAAAAGCGAGCAATCCCCGGGTCAGGCGTGAGGAATGAGGAGCTCAAAGTTGCTGGTGCCAGTCACGGTCTCAGCTCTCGAAGGGGAAGTGCAGATCCTGGGTCAAACACTCGGGTCACAGCTCACAGTTAACAGTTCGACAAGGCTTCTCCAGTCACCGAGCACCACTTACCGAATCTGCTCTTCAGCCTATTCAGGATTCAGAGAACACCAATTGAACGAGTCTTCGTTATCGCTTGGGCTCGGATTTCTATGTGGGGAAGAATGCGGAGCATGAGGGGAAAAACGCTTAACACGCGACATGCTGAGCTGATATGCGGGACAGATAAAGATTCTCAAAGAGCTTCTTGGAAATGCATATTCCTCGGGACTACACGATCCCTGGTAATCCGCCTCGATTCTGCTGCTGCCTGAGATCTCGCCTTTGAGGTCACAGCCAGTCCTATCTATGGAAAAACCTAAAAAAGACGAATGCGATCCTCAAGAATGCTCTGGAAACCTCTTCCATGTTCCGGCGGATCGACTGGGATGACAATCGACAATCACAGTCGGCCTACTCAATGAGGGAGTCAGGGGAAAGAAGGCGCGAACCTCAATGATCCTTCGGGACCTCTCCGATGCAAAAGCGGATCGCACAGGATTCCGAGATTGCAGCCACTTTCGGCTCTCTCTATACGAGAGTTCAAAGGCGGTGAAACCCTTCGGGTATTCAGCTGACCTGACGATCCTGTATAATCCCGGGAAGACTTCTTCATGGTACTGCCCGATAGGTTGCTTATCCGAGGCATCTGGGTTTTCCCGACTCTGGTTCCGAAACTCTCGAGAAATCCCGGGTACTCGTGTCGAGAACTCTCGCTCAGGAGGATCACACCGAACCTCCGTATAACAGGTCCTGAACAAGCTGGTGCCCGGAAATAACTAGCTGATGGGACCGCCCGATCTCGATCGCATGCCGGGCAAAGATCATAGGCAGCCCCGTATTGCTCTCAGACTCCGCTTTAAGCTCAACATACGTTCTTCCGTTCAAAAACAGCAGCCGTTCTTTTGTTCAAAACAAACCCCTTTATTTTGGGAAAAACGCCGTCCTTCAGTCCTTTCGTTCTTTGTTGGACGATACCTTCCCCTGACCCCCAGGGGTCTGCAAAATCAGCTGGGGGTCCGCGCCCCCCCCTCCCCTAGATAAACTTGGGGGGTCCGCGCAGAGAGAATCGGTGCTCCGGGGGTCCGCAGACTGGGAAAGCTTGCCGACCGCTGCTGTATCCGACGCTGAAAGGGTGGAAATGTCCGTTGAAGAAGGGACTAAGGCCGCGACTTGTCATTTCTTTCTTGAGGCACTACATTCGGCGAATCGGCAAGCTTCGATTGCCATGGACGTAGATGCCCGAAATCATGTACAATCATCTCAAGAATATTTCCATCTAGCTTTGATCTTATTGATGGAGACTTAAATCACTTGAAAGTGGGAGTTCCGAGAAAAGCCAGCCGCTTAGGAAACTAAGTTCCCCGAGGGCTCCACATTGAAAGACCCCTCCAGCGATGAGTCCTGAGTTTCCTCTCTGCACCTCGACTGCGATCCGCTGCCGAATGAAGGCGATCGCTCTTTTGTTACCGTCTCTGCTCTTGATTCTGCGGCCAATCTTCTCTACGAATCTGAGGGCTTTGTCACCCCAAACCCCGGTGGACTCGATCACGAACGGGATCAGAATATACTCGCCGAGCAACGAGTCGTACTTCGCTCGCTTGTCCTGCTTGCCCCTGGATATCACCGCAAGGACACTCCGAGCGATGCCCCGATAGCTCGGAGCGTACGAATCTTTCACTCGCCATCGCAGTCTTCTTACCCTGTCGGGCTCGCTGAGCGCCCAGGATGTCAAGGACATTCGTCTCTGCGCCGTGGCAGGACCTATTTCGCGTGTACGCATCGATGACCGTATCTTCACACATGGCCTGCTATACGTCGGCGTCGCGCCTCCATAAGCCAGTAGCCGTCCGGGGAATTTCACTTCGTCGCGAGAACACCGTATGAAGAGCAGTGTATACGAAGAAGTAGTGCGATACTTCTAG